CTCTGTCTAGTGAACGAGGACAGGTAAAGCTAGAACGCTGCATTTCTTTAGTTCTCTGAACTCCCTGTCTTCGGCGCAGTTACACTGAAATCTTTTCAAAATGTTAAGGTAGCCCTGGTTAAGTTGTAACAATAGAACTCACTGAGAGCAGTGCTTAATCTTGCCTAATTAAAATTCTTTTTTAAAAAATTATCCATTTCCCTTATAGTTCTCTTTCAGGACACAGTGAAATTTTTAAAAGCCAGTGTACAGACCACAGTATTTGTTAATCATGATTATACAGAGACTAAAACTAAGATATGGTGCTTTAAGTTCATATTAAGATCCTTTAAGTGACCTTAATTAATTTGGAATGAACCAGGCAGTTTTGAATCGTGATGTTCAAATATGCTAATGTGATTCCATCTTTATAACACTACTGGGGTCTCTAGTCCTATTCAGAATTGGGCACTATATACAATTTCAAGAAAATGAGACTGCCTCTGAACAGTTGTTTGCTTTTGAATAGTTTAGGTAGGAATGCTGACTCAACTTTGAGTACTTGAATCTTTTTCTTCCATTTGCATTTAAACATCTTTCCACAGTGATTGATATAGGCAAGTTGGGTTGACCACCTAGCTCACGGGCGTGACCTTGGTGATTTCCTTCCAGTGGTGTTGAAGGATTTCAGGTTACAGGTTTTGGTTGCTACTGAGGATCGCTGTGTAGAGTTCTCTTGTCAGATGAAGGAAAAAAAAACAGTCTGTGTAAAATACGAAAGGGAAACTGCTATGAAAATGTAAGTTTCCTAACCAGTCTTGAAGATCATTTTGCAGTTTAAATGTGCAAATGAATTGGTCAGTGACTAGCAGTTTGTTTGTGTTGAATGTTTAATGATCACTTACTTAATTGGCACTTAGTAACCAGGGAGGGAGCGCCTAGCAGTTCTGTTGGATACTTGAGATACTTGGCTGTGAGTGGAATTCTTGTGTGTTGTGGGTGGTTTTGAGGCCCATCAGTCAGTGCCTTACTGCTCCGTCCTTTGGTAGTGAATATTCTGGATCAAGAAATGTAAGCTGGCCTGAGCAGCTGCAGCACCACTGCACTGTTGGGGGGGTGGTGGTGACAGTTGAGTCCTGGGTACACAGAGGACGCTGTCAAAGAGTCACAGCTCCTGACAGCGTGGGGGCACTCCCCTGATTTGTTGTGCTTATGCACAAGTTACTGTGTTTTCCTTAAGCGTTGTACAATGTGCAGTATTTGCTCATTTCAGGGTCTGCAGGAAGTGGCAGAACTCAGAGCAGCTTTATTCACAAAGAGAATCTTTACAAACACGGAAGAAATGATTTAGAGCCTCAGACTTAGAGTTCAGGCAGTTATATATAGCAATAGGGTTCCTGCCTTTTTTGAAGGATTATATTGTAAGTTTTACAGAATATTTATTGTAAGTAACCACAGTATAATTTAAACCTTAGTATTCTCTCAGAATGGAAGGTTATGACGAAGAACCTCTTGCCTAAGGTGCCTGGGAGTGTACAACCGAGGTTAAGTACTGTTACCTGAATAAAGGTTTTGAAAACAGTTTTTAAACATTGAAAAGCGTTTTTGCAAAGTGCCTTTCAGGAAGCCTGGTGTGTTCACATGGCTGCTTTTCTGCACACCGTAAGCATTTAGACTATAGGTGTTGGGTGGACTGCCCTCCCCTCCCCTCCCTCCAGGTCTCTGTGCAGAGACGGTTGATTGGCAGTCACCGTGTCCTCTGGGCGTCCGCGTGCTCCCTGTGTAGAACACCCCAGGTCTGGTGCCCACTCTTCAGCCAGCTGGAGATGGCGGTTGGTTATTAACAGTAATTAGGTTCGAATGTCTATTTTTCCTAAGTTCTGTTTCACTCTAAAGATTCTTGTTTAGCAGCTTGGTTTTAAGTGATGGTACTGATTTATGGTGTAAGGAAGTGTTTCGTCTATGCATAGTTTCTAAGGCCAGAGTCAGGGCATTTGCTAGCACAGGTTTCCCTAGCATGGCCCATGTTCTTGTTTCGTTGGGTCTGTGAGGAGAGTGTTTCAAAGCCCAAGTGATTGCTTGTGCTGGTCAGTTTTACTGTATGATTAATTTTTTTTTTTATTACACTTGAAATTGCAGAGAATGGTAATGAGATGGCAGCCATAGACAGCCATGTGGAAGTTTTTTTATTAAGTTCATAGCCACGTGGCAGTTTGACGAGCATTCAAGTTAAATTCAGTATCAGCCATGGTCGGGACTGTGGCAGGAGATGTGCGTGCTGAGTCTCCACTTCTGCTGGTGACGCAGTGTGTGTTCAGTTACTCACCAGGTGCTGTCGAGGGCCTAACCCTGTGCCTGGGACCCCTTCTTAGGCTTCGGGGGCAGTGGGGGAAGAGGGCCGACAGGATCTCTGCTCCCTAGGATCTTTAAAGGGATGGCCCAGGGTTTTCATATCTTACGGGTATTGAATGGTAAGGATTACCATGACCCAGGGTCATCTAGTGCTTGACAGTTGGGCAAAGGTGTAATGACTGAGAGAGTCTGCCCCAGACGCTTCCCCAGAGGAAGAAGAGCTTCCGGTTTCCCTGGGAGGGTGGCCTTCCCACCTGCTGCACCACGGGCCTCTCTGGCCTTGGCCGTCCTTCCCCTCGTCTCCGGGCCTCCACCTGTCCGCTCTGCCTTCCTCCTCCCCAGGCGGAACTGAAGCCCTTTCTCCTAAGATGTTAACACTGCCTCCTTTCCCAGCTCTTTTGTTTGGTCTTCTGCTAGATGCTGGTGATGACTTGCTTATTAACCCAGATACTTAACATTTCAGAGAGAAAATGGAAACTAAGCACCTTTGCATGCTGTGTCTCTGGTCTTTGCCACGGCCCAGGGTGGGAAGTGACAGCGATGGGCCCACGTCATGTTCTGATCCCGAGATTGAGTTGAGGGTTGTGTCTTTTGGGGAAAGGTTATTTACAGAAAAGTGGAATTCCCCAAAACTATGGTTTTTTGCCAAATTAGGACATTAAAAACAAAAAAAACCCTATTATTTGCCATTGCCATCCTTCCAGTTTTTAAAAAGGGTATTTTGGAACCAAAAAGTAGAAAAGACTGCACATAAAGGACAGCCTTCATTCATGTTACATGAACATGAACCCACTGAGGTGTTGCTCTGGTTCTCGGCCAGCTGCTGGCCCGTGAGTGTCAGTCGGTGACTGCTTTTTCTTGAACATGTGCTGCTCATTTTCTCAGTTAAAGTATTACCCGGGGTAGTGGCATTCAGTAAATATTTGTTGACTGAGTAAATGATCAGCCATGTAGCCAACCATCGTTGAATGTCTTGATTCGTATGGTCATTAAATACTCTTTTGAGTATATCTGTCCATCAATGTAGACATGCCCCCAGAACTGTGGACTCGGAAACTCTTGAGATGGTCTTGTAATTTGTCCCTCTGCATTAAGTTGAAGTGGTATGGTGGTGACCGCTTTAAGGTTGTGACACAGGCAGGACTGGAACTCAGACTACCAGAATGTTCTATCCCTCCTGAGCTGGTAGTCAGCCCAGGGGTTTATCCTCCATTGTGGCAACAAAGGACCGAGAAATTAACATGAAATGCTGCAGTGCACTCTTTCTTTACCCCAGACTTTGATCTGCAGTCTTAGTTAGAGAAGTTGATTGTTTTTTTCAAAAAGAAAGATAACAAGGAAAATGAAATTTTCTCTCTTCTGAGTGTGAAGAAGTGTTTCCTGGTCTCTGAGCTTGCTCTTTGAGGAAGTGGAGGGAAGGAAAGTAACCTTTTTTTCTTTAAAGTTGCCTGTAGTAGGGAGGGAGTAGTGTGCGTGTCTTTCTGTGTCTCTGGGTGCAACTAACTGGCTTCGGTTAAAGTGGTTGGGATTCCTCGAACAGTTCCGTCCTTGCCGTGAAGGAGGAGGGTTTGGCTTTAGGTTACTGGTGATTCTTCCCTGAGCTCGAGCATGAGCTGTGAGGTCAGAGCCTGCAGAGCGAAATCAGGGCATCCGCTCTGCACCCACCTGTGCAGCATGTGGTGGGGGTGCCAACGGAGGACCCGTCTTCTGATTTAAAGACCCGGGGTGTGCTGAACCAGCTCTGTTGAGGATTTTAGCCGTGGACATCCACAAAAGAGTGTTACGCATGTATTTCCTTATTTGTTGTTTGGATGAGGAAGCCCTACTCTGATGCTTATTGAAGGCAGAGAGTTGTCAAAAGCAAACTGGGATTTGGGCAGTGGATTGAGGTTTACAACTTCCAGTGAACCAACATTTATCAAGGTTCCCCTTGGCCAAGATGAGCAACCATTCTGAAGTTCTGTATTTCTTTTTCTTTTTCTTTAAAGATTTTATTTATTTTTAGAGAGAGAGGAAGGGAAGGAGAACGAGTGGGAGAGAAACATCACTGTGATTGCCTCTCATGCGCCCCCTACTGGGGACCTGGCCTGCAACCCAAGCATGTGCCCTGACTGGGAATCAAACTGGCGACCCTTTGGTTCACAAGGCTGGTGTTCAGTCCACTGAGCCACACCAGCCAGGGCAGTATTTCTTGAATAGAGATTTTAGGAAGGGCTCCCATTTTTTTCTGTTGTTAACGTGTGTATATGAGTACCTGGTGTGCTTTTGGGTGTGTGTGTCTGTATATAAGACAGTCTGAAGCTCTGGCTTTTACAATTTTACCTAAAGTGCTTTCTTTGTCATCTTATTTTTTACAATTCTTAGTCTCTAGGTTTGTAGAGGCTTTTTACAAAGATACAGATGTACATTTCAGTGACATTGGGAAGGCGTTTATCTGAATTTAACAGTTTCTGTTATGAAACATTGCATTTTTTATTTAAACCATTAAAGCACCATATTTTAAGTTTCTTAACTAGATGAAGTTCTGGTGGTGGAATGAGTGTGATTGGTAAGTGGTTAGATTTAATTAACAGGTGTAACAGGCAGGCGCTGTATTAGGTTAGAAGTGAAGGGGCCGAGCTTCCTCTCTTCTCTGTCTGGAGCCCACCATTTCTGTCTTTCCCCTCCAGGTTTTGGACATCTCCTTGTCTCCACGTTGCTGGAACTGACTTCTTGCTCAACTGGCTGACTCACTCAATGGAGACAAAGAGAACTAATGCTTCGTGCTGACTCACATTTGAATCAAAGCATCAGGGAGTCAGTCTGCCTTGTTGGTGGGAAGAGCCAGTGATACTTTTCTATCACTAAGCTTCCTAAGGCTTCTGAAGATAAGATATTCAGAGGAATATATATACACTTTCTTTTGAACTTTTATAACAAATACTTGCTCTAGTTTTGAAGCCCCCGGGCTGCTGGGGAGTGACGAGTGTTACAAGTGGCCTTACTCCATTTCCAGAAACCCTCACCTGGATTCTCACTTGACACGCAGTCCAGAGTGGCAGGAACATGCCGACTCAGTCCCTCTTAGTGTACATGGACGGCCCGGAAGTCATCGGCAGTTCTCTTGGCACCCAGATGGAGCTAGATGATGCCATATCAATGAAAGGGGCCACTGCTGTCCCTTTCAGAGCCACACAGGAGAAGAATGTCATCCAGATTGAAGGCTACACGCCTTTGGACTGCATGTTCTGCAGTCAGACCTTCGCACACTCTGAAGACCTCAACAAACACGTCTTAACGCAGCACCGGCCCACCCTCTGTGAGCCCGCGGTCCTGCGTGTGGAGGCAGAGTACCTCAGCCCTCTGGACAAGGGTCAGGTGCAGACGGAGTCTCCCAAGGACGAGAGTGGCAAAGACAGCGAAGACCTGAGCTGCGAGGTATGTGGGCAGACGTTCAGAGTCGCGTTCGATGTGGAGGTCCACATGAAGAAGCACAAGGACTCTTTCACCTACGGGTGCCACGTGTGTGGCCGGAGGTTCAAGGAGCCCTGGTTTCTGAAGAACCACATGCGGACCCACAACGGCAAGTCGGGGGCCAAGGGCAAGCTGCAGCAGGGCTCCGAGAGCCCAGCCACCATCAACGAGGTTGTCCAGGAGCAGGCCGCCGAGAGCATCTCCTCTCCTTACAAAATCTGCATGGTTTGTGGCTTCCTATTTCCAAATAAAGAAAGTCTAATTGATCACAGGAAGATGCACACCAAAGACGTGGCTTCCGGTGGCAGCAGTGCTCAGGCGGACTCTCAGCTGGCGGGGATGCCAGCCCCCAGCGACGAGCTCCTGCAGTTCCTGAACCTGAGGCCCACAGCGTGCCCCGAAACTGGGAAGCACCCCGCCAGATGGATCCCTCAGCTCGACCCCTTCACCACCTACCAGGCCTGGCAGCTGGCCACCAAGGGCAAAGTCGCCGTCTGCCGGGAGGTGAAGGAGCAGCCCGGGCAGGAAGGGAGCACAGACAACGACGATTCGGACAAAGAGGAGCTTGGAGAAATCTGGAGTGCAAGCAAAAGCCACCCCGAAGGTTCTGGAAAGTCCAGAACGAGCAGGAGCGGCTGTGCCGGCCTTGCCCACGACAAGGAGAAGCCTAGACATGCGAATGGTGAAGTGCCTTCTGGGGACTCGGACCCCAAGTTGTCCAGCAACAAGGAGAAGCCCACGCATTGCTCCGAGTGCGGCAAGGCTTTCAGAACCTACCACCAGCTGGTGCTGCACTCGAGGGTCCACAAGAAGGACCGGAGGATGGACGCAGAGTCGCCAACCACGGCTGTGGACGGGAGGCAGCCGAGGATGTGCTCTCCTGACCTCGCCGGCACCCTGGACGAGCACGGGGCTGGGGACCGAGACGGCGGCTCCGAGGACGGGTCCGAGGACGGGCTCCCCGAAGGCTTGCATGTGGGTGAGTGCCGGGCCACGAGCTGGCCCCTCGTGGGGCCCAGGGGCTGGGGGTCTAGGCTGTTGGGGTGCCGTCCTCTTGTCAGTCACGTGTCCCGCTCTGGGTGGAGTCGAAAGGCCTATCTGTCTGCCAAGGTTTTCTCCTGCCCTGAAAATTCTGGGGTTTTGGATTTTGCTAACACATTATTTTAACTTGTGCAGCAGCCTAGAGCAGCACTTCCAATTAAGTGGTGAGTTTGCCCCCGGAGGGCACCTGGCAGAGTCTGGAGGCGTTTTTGGTTGTCACAGCTGCTTGGTGGGGGTGTGTGCTGTGGGCCCAGTGAGTGGAGGGGGGACGTTTCTGGACATCCCACAGCAGAGGAAGGCCCCAGATGTCAGTAGCACCAGGGTCGAGACGCTGGCCTTGCTTCAGTTTTTTCTGCATCCTTGACCTTACCTATGAAAATAAGTTACTCTTTCACGCAGTAGACGGCCGTGGCCCTGTGGATTGAGGCCCAGCTCCCCTGTGTGTGTCACAGGTAGATTTCCAGTGGTGACGAGAGTACTGGGAACGGTGGCGAACCACCACCGAGGGAGACTGCTACTGTTAGAGGCGCCCTCTGGTTCTGCCGGGACCGTGGCCTTTGTGTCTGGGGCTGGTGTTTGTTACCGGTTGTTCGCTCAGACACGAGGTGTTCAGAAAGGTCAGGGAATGTGAACACACAAAGGTGTTTCTGAGAACATCTGGTCGGATGTTCTATACACGTGGCTGGATATTTTTGGAATAAGGGGTTCTGCTTTGAAAATAGTTTGAAAATCCCCACAAGTGGATAATGAGAACATGGGTTAGTTTTAGTAAAACATCATTTAGAAAAGTGTTTTTGGTTAAAACAAATGCTGCCTTTTGTTGTAACTTGATCGTGTGGCTGCCTCGGAGAGCTCTGGGCGTGAGACCCAAGATGAGTTTGACCAGAGAATATGCTGAACCCCCCCCCCCCCCCCCCCCCCCCCCGCCCATGCTCTTTCTGATCATGTGGTGGGCGTGAGAGCTGTGGTTTTCAGATCAAGTATTTATTTAGAGGATTCTGAGTTCCGTGGGACACCAGAGATCTAGCACTTGGAGAATGACCATCTTCGGTTTTCAGAAAGTCCAGAAAGCCCATTCTGCTGTCTTGGTGGCGTCATAAAGAGCTTTCCACCCAGACCTCTCGACTCAGCTGTTCCTTTGCTGCTCAGGCCATGTGGTCTCAGGGAAACCTCCAAGCCTGAGATGCCCCAGGGCCCCGAAAGAAATGAAATGGCCAGTCGTGTTCTGCCAGCAGGTGGCGCAGGCAGAGAAGGGTCTGGTGGGAAACTTGGGCTGGGCCAGCAGGCGGCTGGAATGCCCACAGTAGCTGGGAGCGCCACGACCGGCGTTGAGTCTGGTTCTGCCACTGCATTGTTCCCTGACCGAGTATGTGTTGCTTCACCCATCTTTGCCCTGATTTCCCTGTTTGCGAAATGGGTTCATCAGCTTTAGCCTTGTCTTCTCTGCCCCCCAAGGGTAATTGTAGCAGCCTGTTTATAAAAGCACAGTCCTTTTACAGGACAGCACTGGCGAGTCAGAGGTGATGCTATAAGAAGGGCAGGAACCAGGTGGATGTGGGCATTTCTTGTCCTTTCTGTTAAAACAAAGTCATTGTGCAACTTTTCGGACGTGATGCAACACACCATGAATCCTGACACACGGTTGGAAGTAGGAAGTCGCCATAAGGTGCAGGCCGGACTACAGACATGGCTGATTGGGTGTGATTGTAGGAAGGCAAGCGGGCGTTTCTCTGTTTAGGGAATGATTTTTCCTAGATTTATCCAGGCGGGGCCAAGGTAGATTCACATTGTGAGTGTGTGAAAGACAGAGCTTATTCGTGTATTACTCATTCATTGTGTTTTTCCACATGAATAACTGTGGATCTGTTTTGGCCCCACCTTGTATTCTCATGTCTTCTGGTCTAGATTTATCTGTTACAGTTTACCATCAACCTGGATTTCTTTAGATTTATTTTTGAGGTGATCAGAAACCAAAGTAAATTATTTAAGAAATCCAGCTTTTATAAATGGGGTTACTAAGGGTTGTTCACGGGGTGACCTGTTTTTAATGTCCTCGCGGCACCTCTCAGATCAAGGGCTGTCTGCTGCTTCCGAGTGTTCAGAGGGTCGGAGGGGGTGACAGATTGCACCTCCTGTCTTCACGTACCGAGGGCTGCTTGTGAGCCGTGTTTACTAACAAATTAGTAAGCCTTAAGTCATCGAGAATGTGAAATTTGAAGGGAACAGGAGAGAGGGCCTTTTAGTTGGAAATAACTTTTTCAAGGCAAGTGACCAGTTTAGTTGTGCTAAATTTTAAGAGATGAATTAACTCGTCATATTGTAACATACACAAAATGAACCACAAGAAGCAGCATTTCATCTAAAACTTTAACGTGCTCTTTGGGGGAGCAGGTGTTTGAGCCGCAGCCTCTCTGATTGTTTAGTGTGACGGGCAGCCACCCTCTAGCGAGTGTCCCCAGGCGACCTTTGCTCTGCTGCAGTCTCCATCATCCTGGCAAGATTGAGGTTTCAAGTTGGATGCATTGTGGTTCAAGGGCAGGTTTTGCTTTGTCCGACACACCGCGGCCACGTGAGTGTGGTGGACGACCCACCCGCTCTCCCGGAGCCTCCCCAAGTTCTGACAGCAGCCCCCGCCTTTGCCCCCCCACCCCCACCCCGTTATCTCCGTGAGGATGGGGTTGTGCTTGCTTCCCTCTAGTGGTGACTTGCCCAGCCAGAGGATAAAACACTTAGTTTTCCCTGGCGGTTGGGAAAAATGGCCATTGACAGTGGCTCGGTTTTCTAGAGGGCCCACTCTGATGGTCCCTACTCTAGAGGGTCCCTACTCTAGAGGGCCGAGCTGCTTCGTCCAGCCCATCGGCGCAGGTCCCGCTGCAGCAGGCCGGGCCCTGCCTGGGTCAGCCACGTCGGGAGAGCAGGCTGCCGGGCCGCTGTCCTGACCCGTGTGTCCGTGAGGCAGAAGTGGGCGGCTCAGTCCTTAGCAGTGGCCTCGGCTGCAGTCGAAGCGCACCCCCGGACAAAACAGAAACACACACGTGTTACAGGACTCCAGACAGCCTCCAAACAGCGTCTGGTGTGTTTTTTCCCAGCTCCAATATGAGAGTTATTTTATGCTTTTTATCAAGAGCATTTCAGCCACCTTGGCTTGTTCGTGTATTTGACCTATCTTCTTACACACTTTTGTTTTTTCTTTAAGATAAAAATGACGATGGAGGCAAAATAAAGCATCTTACATCCTCAAGAGAATGTAGTTACTGTGGAAAGTTTTTCCGTTCCAATTATTACCTCAATATTCATCTCAGAACACATACAGGTAAGGAGCTTAAGGGTTTTTTAATGAAAAGAATTATCTTGTAGTGGTCTGTGGTTTTTTGTTTGGGTTGTTCAGATAATCCAGTGGGCCTCGGAGTAGGGTAAGAAGAAACATGTAGTGTGCAGATCGCAGCTGTCATTTCGGGGTTGGTAGTGGCGCTGTCACTTGAGCTGTTCCTCTTTTAAAGTTAGTTTCCCGTGTAGTTTCCGATCGCCAGACCCCCGTGTTTCCAGGCCTCTTTAATGAATGTCTCCTGCTGCGCAGCTGCTTTGTGCTGTTACGGTTTAGAATAAAGTGGAAATATACTTCAGAGTCTTCTAGTTTTTACTTTTTAGATCTTGGTTTCTAATTTTTAGAGAGAGGGGAAGGGAAGGGAAGGAAAAACAGGGAGAGAAACTGAGTCTCATGTGCCCCTCACTGGGGACCTGGCCCACAACCTGGGCAGGTGCCCTGACTGGGAATTGAACTGGAGACCTTTGGGTCCGCAGGCTGGTGCTCAGCCCCCGGAGCCACCCGTGCTGGGCCCGGAGCCTTTTCTGTAGATGGCAGAGCAGCCGCCAACGGTGGTTTAGGAGGCTGCGTGTGCTTGGTTCCACCTCCTCTCGTAGCTGCGCCGCCCAAGGCAGGTCACTCGAGCTCTCTGAGTCCCCTTTTCTGAGCGTTAAAAGTGGGATGACAGTCACTTCCACAGAGACGTTACAGAGATTAAAGAAGTGGAAAGTGCTGCTGCTTTGCTGGCTTTTTTTTTAACTCGAAGACATGTATCACATGTTCAAATACTTAGCATAGTCAGCGACGTAAAGCAGTCACAAGGAGGCTCCTGGGCGTGGAGGCGGGTTAACAGGTGGGGGGGGGGAGGACCCTGTGTTCCCGGTTAGATTCTTCTAGTTCCCAAAGGTCTCTTCTGATGCTCTTTGTAAACTTTTGTAATATGTTGGCACCTCTTGTTTTAGGTGAAAAACCGTACAAATGTGAATTCTGTGACTATGCTGCGGCCCAGAAGACCTCGCTGCGGTACCACTTGGAGAGACATCACAAAGATAAGCAGGTCGACTCGGCCGCTGAGGTCAAGAGCGATGGGAAAAACCAGGAGGCCGAAGATGCACTACTCGCCGCCGACAGTGCGCAAACCAAAAATTTGAAAAGATTTTTTGATGGTGCCAAAGATGCTAAAGGCAGTCCACCTGCCAAGCAACTTAAGGGGGTGGCCCCTGCCTTTCAGAGTGTCCTGGGCAGCACTGTCCTTTTGCCAGTACACAAAGATACTCAGGATTTCCATAAAAATGCAGCCGAAGACAGTGTGGACAGAATGAGCAGAAACCCTGCCCCTGCTCATTTGGACGTGTTGAAGAAGAGACCCACTGTTGAACCCCAGGCCGGTGGCCTCGTCTGCAGAACAGAAGGGGGTGTCCCCCCTCCTCCTCGCCCAGATGCCACTGCCACCTGGAGTACTGGAGCCACGAAGGTGGAGGTGGCAGTGGCCGGCAGTGTGAAGCCAAGCATGGACTGTCAAGAAAAGCCTTTAAACTTATCCCTCGGGCCGCTTAACAGCTGCCCGGCGATTTCTCTGAGCAAGAGTCTGATCCCTAGCATCACCTGCCCGTTCTGTACCTTCAAGACCTTTTATCCCGAGGTTCTCATGATGCACCAGCGGCTGGAGCACAAGTACAATCCCGACATCCACAAAAACTGTAGAAGCAAGTCTTGGCTCAGAGGCAGGCGCACTGGCTGCCCGCCTGCTTTACTGGGAAAAGACGTGCCGCCCTTGTCCAGCTTGCCCAAGCCCAAGCCCAAGCCCACCTTCCTGGCCCAGTCCAAGACCCTGCTGTTGGAGAAGGGGAAGCCGGGCCCCCCAGGGCCAAGCAAAGCCCCTCTGACCTCAGGGACTGACTCTAGCACTTTAGCCCCCAGCAACCTGAAGTCGCACAGGCCACTGTCCAGTGTCGGGACGCAGGGGGCTCTGGCTACCAGGCAGCCGTCAGAGATGTTTCCTAAAAGTGGAGTTTCTCCTGCCCTGGAGAAGACAAAGAGGCCGGAGGTGAAGTTCAAGGCCCCGGGAGTCTCTGTGTCCCAGCCAGCGCTGGGTGGCAGCACCATGAACGGCTCAGATTTCCCTGCCAAGCACGATGGCCCGTGGGCACCCCCCGGGAGAGACTATTTCTGTGGCCGCAGCGCAGGAGGTGCCGGCCCGGAGCTTGGAGAGCCGCTTCCCAAAAGGCCAAAACCCGGGCCGGCGGCCCTGGACACGGAGCAGCCCGGGCCTCACTACAGAAGGGGCCTCGACCTGCCCAAGTACCAGATGGTCCGTGGGATCACATCGTTGCTGCCCCAGGAGTACACGTGCCCGCCGCCGCCGCCGGCGGTGCTGCCCCCCAAGCCACGGTTCCTGGCCTCCGGGGAGATCGACTCTGCGAATGTGTTGACTGTGCACAAGCCCTACGGCGGCCCGGGCCCGCTCTACACGCGCAGCCCCTCGGGGGCAGCGGCCGGCTCCGCACTCGAAGGTACCGCCCAGCCCCGCACAAATGCTTGCCCAGCCCCAGCCCCTGTGGAGCCTTGGGTTCTTGGGGGAGGGGCCCCCAGGGTCTAGAAGGTACAGGGGGAGGGACAGCGAGGCCTTCCTAGACTGGCCGTGGTTCCCTGGTCCCCAAAGCTCAGTCCTCCAGGATCAGCCTTATTTCTGAGTGTTGAATTTCTCTGGTTTTTCTCCCTTGGGGTGATGATAAGAAAGATCATTGAGAACCAGTGGTCTGACCTTCTCCTTGCCCTGAAATCTCAGGTGTCACGTAGGCCTGTCACCTCCTACCACTGTGGTCCCCTGGTACACACATGGTGTGCCCAGCACTCCCTCCCAGCTGCCCTGGGATCTGAGATCTGGGAAGTGTCTGCCCACTCCCACCACCACTCCTGGGCTCTCCACTCCTTCAGAGCAGAGAGCACAGGGAACCTCAAGTTGCCAGCAGTCCCTCATGTGCCCCATAGGGGGCAGACAGGAGACCCCACCAGCACCTGGCCTGTCCGGACTGTGTGCAGGCTGCTGCTTAAACACACGTCGGAGCATGTTTGCCGTTAGGGCTGCCAGGTTCTGCAGCCTGTTTAGTTCGTGTGAAATTCTTGAGGAATTTCAGGAGTGCCATCACTCCCCCGAGCATGTTAGTGGTCACCTCCTGGGGACTCGGGTTCGCTGTGGGAGTGTCTTTAAAGCCCCTGCTTCCTCATGGCCTGCAGCCCCCTGGGCTCGGCCCCTGGCATTGCACCACCACAGCCCCCCTCGCATACGGCTCTGCTCCCAGACACGCTGAGCCCCCCATTCGTGTTCACCTGGACTGCGATTTCGAGCGGGGCCAGGTCTCCATCGGGGGTGGCCTGCCGCCTGTTGATCTGGTGCAGATAGAGAACTGAAAACAGTTGCTCTCAATGCCGCAGTGCCTTAAAGTCACGGTGCAGTAACAGTTTGTGTTGCCTTTTGATTAAAAGCACCCATTTCCCCCTCAGTGTATAAAATGGACTCGAGTTAAAACTTGGTCTCTCCACTGGGTAAAAGACCATGTTGCAAGGGAGGTCCTTTTAAAACGGGTGTTTTTTCTCTTCTCCCACGCCGGACATGGGGTTAAAGTTTATTACGCTGCCTAATTCTTTTGGCCCTTTAACTCCTTCTATGGAGTCCTGTGCTTAGATAGCCTTAGCTTTGGTGAATTAAGGTTCTGCAGTGATGGACTTAAAAACTCGGCAGTGCCACCTGGACCACACGTGTGCGACCGGGGGCTCTGACCGCCGTCAGGTCCGGGGCTCGGAAGACGGGCCTCCAACCACCTCCCCCCAGCTCACCCCGTTGCTCGGACTGAACGCTAAAGCCTTTTACATTTTTTCCCAATTAGGAAAAAGGCCTGTATCGTATCAACACTTATCTAGCAGTATGCTGCAGAAGAGGAGTTATGAGAGTTTTATTGGGAGCGCACATTATCGACCAAATGACAAAAACACTTGATTTCCTACTTGGGGGAGAAAGGTGAGCCTGTATACCACGTAGTGACTTGATTGGAAATCAGCTATCTGTTGTATCCAGTAGAATGTAAAATTGCTTTTAACTTTAATTTTGATTTTTTTAGGTGTTTTAAAACTTAGAGTAGTTAGGCCAGAAATAGTAAGATAGCAACTGAGATTTAGTAAGCATTTGTTTGGTTCTGCATTGAATGTTTTGTGAGCATGGCCCCTTTCATCCTTCTTCCAGCAGGGGGCAGTAAGTCAGGCGTTTTTGGCAAACTGTGTGCCTGCTTTTTTCTGTCAGTAAGAGTTTATTGGCACCTGGCCATGACCTTTCGTCAATGGCTGCAGAGCTGGGTAGTTGGGGCGGGGACCACGTAGCCCGAGCACCTGAAGGTGTTCACTGTCTGGCCCCTGCAGAAAAATTATTCGGCCACCAGGCTAGGGTGTCCTGTACACACCACGCAGAGACCTGGGGGCCGAGGCAGGGTTGCGTGACCTGCCAGTGTCCACTCTGCCTGGCCCCAGCCCTGCAGTAAGAGCTTGTTCACAGCCTTTGTAAATCCTGGGCTGTTGGGAGGGAGTGGGGGCAGGAGCAGGTAGAAGGGCTAATTTGTGTTGACGATTCGATTTCGCGTGGTGTGTGTGTCTAGCTGGAGAGTGACCCAGGACACTCGGGTGCGCTTGGAGCTGCACACACGCTGGCGTGTTCCACGTTCGGGTGAGGGCGTGATGTGCAGGGAAGAGTTACCCTGGGACCCACTTGACAGTAAACTGGGTGAAAAGTGGGGCTCAAGGACAGGCAGTTCTCTCTGAGATGAACCTCCACCGTGTCTGTTCCTGGAGCGCTCTCGCCCGAGGCCCACTCAGGGCCAGGGCAGGACCTCTCCTTCCTGGGCTCATGGGGTCACCCGGGGGCCCGCTGGCGGTGCAGACTGGTGAAGGGGTGTCATCCCAGGAGAGGGGTAAATGCACTCTGTGCGGAGACCAAGCAAACCGTTCACAGACTTGGAGGAATGGACGGATCAGCACTGGCAGGTCCCTCGCCTGTGCATTGCAACCTGCCAGTGACCCCCGGGCCTCTGTCCACATTCTCTGGGCTTCTCCGCCTGCGCTCCCCACTCCCCAAAATATCCTTCCTGCACCATCTTGGTCAGGCACCCTTTCTGATCCTTCAGGACCAGCTCACATCCCGTCTCTGCCGGTGTGTGCAGGGAGCCAGGGGCTCCTTCCCCTTTGTGTGGCTCACGCCCGTTTCCACCGCCAGCCGAGCCCAGCACCTAGCTCAGCACCTAGCCCGTTGCTGGGAATATCGCAGTCGGTGCCGGCTGAACACATCATGTCGCAGATACTTTGTGCACCTTTCCTCTCAAGGACGGAGGTTATTCTGAGTTGTTTGTGAACTGCTCCTGGTCTGTGCCATAGTTTCTCCTTTTACAAGGTGTGGACTTGCAGAGTTTCTTGCAGGGGGCAGTTGGCTTTGCAGACGTAGTGTGACTGGTGTGGGCTCTGGTTCTTGGTCACATTATCTTCCTTAAATCACAGTCGTGTATCTGTGGCCATTTAAGTGGTGCGGCATCATGTCTGGTCTCCGGGTACTTCACTGCAGAATTCAAGCTCAGATAGAACACACAGCAGGGCCAGATCTAAATAGCTCTGTCTAGTCAGTACACTTGTAAAAAGTTACATATTGACTTTCAGAGAGAGGTGAAGGGGGGGAGGGAGGGCACGTGTAAATGCCGATTTGCGGTTCCACTTAATTAGGCATTCATTGGCTGGTTCTGGATGTGTCCTGACGAGGGTCTAACCTGCAGCCCCCGGGAATCGGAACAAGGCTCTGACCGAGCTGCCTGGCCAGGGCTTAACATTTTTAAAAGGTTGTCTTCAGTTTTACCCCGGTCACTTTTTAAACTTTGTTTTCATAGGTCTCGGCGATGGATGTGTGTACTCTGTGTGAAGGGAAGCCAGTCCATCTTCTGAGAAAGCGGCCTGAGAGCTACTGAAAGAAGCCGTGATTGATTGTACTGTACATAGAATGCGGGAACACTACAGTGCTGGGGCGTCCACTCTCGTACCAAATAGCAATAAAAACTCGTCGGAGCAGTGGGGTTGTACACGGTGGAGACCAGAGAGCTCTATTTTGTCCCTGAATAATATTTTTTTTACAATTGACCAAATAAGTGGAGTTTTTGCATACTTGAGCGCTGCTGAAAAGAATCATTTGGGATGGGGGGGTGGGGCGGGGAGAAGGTATATGATGCTTGCACCTCAGGTAAAATCTGTAAATAGATAAGTTGTACCTGCTTGTTCAAATACCCTGTGTATTCTTTTTCTCACATAGCTCATCACTTTGAGCAGTTCCTTGCTATTTGTGCTCTTTCATTTAAATTGTACGTTTTAAAATAATTTCTTGATGATTTTGTATTATGTTAAATCATCCGCAGTCTGTTGTCTTGAACTCGTTACTGGAGGCAGCAGCTCCTGAGGCCGAGAGCGGTGCGCACCGAGGTCAGCGGCTCCGAGCGCAGCGCCTCCCTTTGCAGGCGCCTGGCAGCCCCTGTCCGCGCTCCAGCCCTTCCAAGGGACCCCCCCCCCCCCGGGGGTCTTAGGCGCATGTGTCTACAGAGACTCATTTCCTCTGTAGAGCGGCCGGCTGCCCAGTGAACGTACCAGATTGTATGTGGAGCTACTGAATAGAGTTTCCTGTCAAATTAATCATTTTTGTTGGAAAATGCAGTGTTTGGGGCACTCGTCTGAATTAGTAGATAAAAACTATAAACGCTAAATTATACATGTGATGTACAGTTATTGGAAGCAATTTTCATGGAAATGAAAGTTGCGGGGTAATTTTAGGTTGTATTTGGGGTCTCGGTGCGTCCGCATTGGGGCCGACAGCGGGTGCGTTGAGACCCGCTGACTTTGACGAGAACTGCTGGCCGAGCCCTCCGGTGACAATGACCAGGGAAGGAGGGACCCGTTTCCACCTGGTCTTCCCGCTTTTGGTTTTAAAGCAGCAGCGTTTCTCAGTACACATGCAGTTTGGGTTTTAAAGACAGAGTGGCCGCCAGGTGGCCTACCAGATGTTTTAAACTCTGTTCCCGTAATTTGCAGTTCCTGGCTGAGTTTCTTCAGCAGTCCCCGGGGTTAGCAACCACGAAATGTTTTATTAAGAAACTGTTTTCAAAAATAAATTTGCACTGTTGATGTTTCATGTCCTAAGGGTAAAGTACTGAAAGAATTCTGATTTTTTGTTTGTTTGTTTATTTTCATTATGCAACATGAAGCAAAGTTGATCGCGAAGTCTTAACTCCCGCCACAGGGAGGCCTCATTGGAGATCAATCTGCTGGCCTTGCAATTAAGTGCTTCGTACCAGGAGGGTGGACAGTATTCGCCCTTTTTCCTGTTCACAAGCTGAGCCATATGTACAGAATCTAGATTTTCGTTTTCATAGTTTTGCACTTTTATAGCCTATTTTTGAAGATTAACACATTTGCAAAGATGATTGACTTGATCGTGGCCCAGTCCCATGAGTGTCACTGAGGGCGCTCCGACTCCGAGGGACATCTTCAGAGGGGCCGCAGCGCAGTGGGGGGCTGACTCGGAAACCTGTATTTAAAACAAATCACCAAATCTATTTGAAAGCAAGTCGGTTTGTGCTGTGCTGAAATTATTGGGGTTTTTGTATTTCTCCTTTGTAGCCACATTTCTGAAAGCGTAAAAATACCCGTTTTTTTTCTTTTTCACAGCCCTTGTATTCCAATTTTTTTTTTTTGCCCATCAGTATTAACTATTGGGATACTACTGGTTTTGTATGTTTTTTTTTCTTTGAGACAACAGTACATATAATAGAGGTACAATCTGTTGGATTTTTGTTTATGTATTTATTTCATTCCAGTTTGATTTATTTTAATTGTTGATACTTAAGTTGTCAAACAGTAGACATGACCTGTTTTATTTATGATATATTTCAGCTTAAAGTTATGTTATTATATGTGGATGTAAATACAGGTTTGGTGTTTTGCAAACTTGGGTTTCGGTCTTTATTGCGTCCCTGGTTTCTGATTTTGTTTCGTTTAACTTTTTATAAATACATTCGTCAAAGTACACGGTAGTGGCGGGACCAGCAGAGTGGGACCGCCCTCATCCTTGGCAGCAACATTTTCTGTCTTTTTGCCACTCCTTCCCCGTCTTCCCCGAGTGTCTTAAAGTGAGTCTCTGACGGGATTAAATTTCACCCCTAAAACCCTTGCCTGTGCATCTCAGACAGGTGGGGCTTTTCAGGGCGGCCCCCGGCCGAGCAGACAGGGCTCCTCACCGACCCTGGTGGGGTCTCCGAACGCCTGCCCGCGGCCGGTGAGCTGGAGTTGGGATGCACCAAACAAGGCACACTCCTCAGTTCCACTGATAAGTTCCTTAAGCCTGTTCTAATCCCACCCTCGCCCTGTGGGACGTTTTATTTATTGAAGAAAGCTGGGTTATCCCGTAGCAGTGACTGCATTCTCGTTTGGGTTTCCCGAATACTTGGGGTTTTCTCCAGCCAGTTCCTGCACTTCCTGCCCATCCTATAAACGTAACCGACGTCTGGGTGTTTAGAGGGAAATCTCTGGGTTCCGATGTCTCACTGAGCAGCAGGTCAGAGTTTCTCCCCATCCACCTTTCTGTTTGGCTTTGGCGACCCCAGTGAACATCCTTAGGGGCGCAGCAGACATGAGAGATACTGCAAAAAGTGATTTTTTTTTGAAGTCCTGTCATTCCTGCATTTACTAGTTGGAATTCTATGGAGCAGACCTCACTGGTTGGGTTTTACCCTGAAATGCAACTGTTGAACAGAAAGGGCTGACTCGACATCCGTGATGAACTGGATTTGATCGTGAGTTGGCACCTGGCCGGGCACCTCCCGGGCGCGACGGGTGACTGGACTCTTGAGTTTTTAGTTGCAAACTTGCACCTGGGGTTCGTCCCAAGCACTTGGCAGGCATCATGTTGATGCTCGGTCTTCAGTCTTTGGCCAACAGGGATCTGAGTGGGCCGTGTAGTTGGGACCGTGGTCTGATGAGCTTTCTGCCATGACGAGGTGTTCTGAGTCATCTTGAACGTTTCTCGAGGTGCAGACCTGGAGATGGTTTATTTCTCCAAGGATCCTGGGTTCCATTGATGGGAGACGGATTGGGATTGCTCAGGGGTTGGAGGGGTGGTGTGTGGCCGGGGTGGGGGGCAGGGGAAGTGGGGGGAGGGTGATTATTACAACCGATTTGCTTCAGCTCCTGGCCTGAAATACCTACTTTAAGGAAAATACCTCAATAAATAATACTGCTGATATTAATTCAGAGTTAAGATGGTGCTTTCTCACTTGGTTTTATTTTTGATTTTCCCGGAAGCCTGGGTTCCTGATGACGTTAATATAACGAGCATCTTTCATTGTATGTAACCACGAAGTCACGATGCCAGCTGTAGTGATTACTAAATGAAGCTTCCAAAAAAATCCTTTTTTGTACCTACAGTTTTACTGGTTGATAGCAGTGGTTTTTTGACTCAGGGTCCCAGACTAGCAACATCCCCCGGGAAATGGTTAGAATCGCAGATGATCAGGACCACCCCAGACCCCCTGAATCGGGAACTTGGGGGGTGGAGGCCCTGGCCTCTGCTGAGGAAGTGCTGCTCGGGGGACAAGGGCCACGTGTTTGAGCGTCTTGAGTCAGCCTGGGGGGCTATGCTGTAAGGCCCCCCACTATAGATGCGTTGGTTCCCACCCCCAGACACGGCTTTGTTTGCCCCCGTCCTCAGTACAGTTTTGTTACGTAAAACATACTGTCATAGTCGCAACAATAAAACCGGGTTTATTCCGAGACATCCAGTTTTCCACCCCTTCACCCTGTTCCCTTCCCTTTTATAAAGGAACCAGTTTTTAAAAAGTCAGTTTTTGGTTTATCTTTCCATTGCTTCCATGGGAAAGGATAGGCTCATAATCAGGTCATTGGTATTTCCTCACATGAAAGGGAGCAAGCACACTGAACCCTAGTGCAGGCTGACATTAGGACTGCTAAATTTTTCCTTAAATGATGAAAATCAACTGGTGGGGGGGAACTCCGAGGTGCAAGTCCGTGGCCTCTCTGCCTGATTTTACTGTTCAGCACAGTTGTTGAACTTCTACGAAGTGCCAAGCATGCGTAGGTGTTGGGGGTCTGCCTCCCATGAAGCGAAGTTTTGCTGGACGCTGGAGATGGACCGAAAAGTGCTCTCGGAGCCAGGGTGACACATTGGGACGGTCACGGGGGCTGCGTGGGCAGTCCAGGTTCTAAGACCCCAACGCGTTCCTCACCCCTCTCATCATGGCTGCCGCAGAGGACTCGGCTCTCCTTCCTCAGTGGTGGTTTTGCTGTTTCGAATCTGTGGGCGCTTTTATTCCTGAGAATCGCCACCTTCAAGTGCTCCGTGGCGCCTGCCTCCCCCCAAGCCTTGCCCACTTTCTCTGTACTTGGCATTGACTGCCTCCCAGCACTCATCACTGCCTGCCATCACCTCGCACTGGTCTAGGTGAGCTCCCTGGGGGCAGGAACGAACCTGTTTATCTCCTGGGCTTAGAGCAGGGCTTGGTGCTCCTAGTATTTGCTGCTGCATGGATGGATGGATGGATGGATGGATAGAGGTGGCTTCTTCTAGCTTAGCCACGCGCCAGTGACAGAGAAGTCTGGAAGTATCTCAGAATAACCTGCCTTTGAGGTTATTTACTGAGTTATCCCTGCAAGCATTTTTGATTATCCGTAGCAATAAATGGAATCACCATCACTGTGTGTTAGTTGATTGTTTCTTACGAACCAAGCAAAAGAAGTTTTATAGGGGGGGAGGGTGGCGGGGGGGGGGCGCAGGCAGGTTAGAAGAATCCAAGGTATGGGTGTGGCGGGGGGCGGTGAGTGGGTGGAGGTGGCTGGAGGGCCGTTGGGTTTTTTTTGAAACAAATTGAAGGTTTGTGTCAACCCTGCATGACTCCAACGGTCTCAGACGATGTTTTTTTTTTCTTTTTAAGATTTTAGAGAGAGGGGAATGGAGGGAGAAAGAGACACATCAATGTGTGGTTGCCTTTCACGTGGCCCTTCACTGGGGACCCAGCCTGCAACCCAGGCATGGGCCCTGACTGGGGATCAAACCTGTGACTTTAGTTTGCAGCCTGTGCTCAACCCGCTGAGCTACGCCAGCCAGGGCACAATGTTTTTTAGCAATGAAGTGTTTCTTGATCAAGGTCTGTTCTATGGGCCAGAGTCAGCACAAGGGACTTACATGCAGTATCTTAAGGTAGCTGATTTGTTCTCCCCACTTTACAGATGAGAAAACCGAGGCCCACAGAGAGCCTGTAAAGGGCTTGGACTCGGTCTGTCTGTGCTTTTTACCTAAAAGGTGGACATTTGGGTGAACTTAGCTGAAGAAGTAATGCAGGTTTGATTACATTTGGGACCTACCGCTGTCTGTGGTTGAGAAAAGTGACAAGCACAGTATGCGGCTGTCAAATTGTGTGTGAGGAGGGAGGTTCTTGAAGACGGTCAATAAACAAACACTGGGGTGGCTGAGTGTGCTGAGTGTGGGCCTGTGAACCAAAGGGTCGCCGGTTCGATTCCCAGTCAGGGCATGTGCCAGGGTTGCGGGCCGGGTCCCCAGTGGGGTGGGGCGTGTGAGAGGCAACCACACATTTCTGCGTTTCTCCCTCCTTTCCTCTCTAAAAATAAATAAAACAATTTTAAGATTTTATTTATTTTTAGGGAGAAGGAAGGGCGGGAGAAACAGAGGGAGAGAAATATGAATGTGTGGTTGCCCCTCACGTGGCCCCCACTGGGGACCCGGCCCGCAACCCAGGCACGTGCCCTGACTGGGAATCGAACCGGTGACCCTTTGCTTCACAGGCCCATGCTCAATCCACTGAGCTACACCAGCCAGGGCAAAATAAAATCTTTAAAAAACTAAAATAAGACTTCCGCCAAGATGGAGGCATAGGTGGAGACGTCGAGCCTTCTCTCACAACCAAGTTTAGAGACAACTAAATATAGCAACAGAAAACATAGTCAGAACACAGAAAATTGAACTTTTCAGAAGTCTGTTAACAACAAATTCTTCGGCCTGACCTGTAAGAGGGGCGAAACCAGCAGCTGTCGGAGCGGGGTCCCACAGGAAAACTCGGTCAGACGGACCAGGTGCGAGGAATCCAGGCGCAGGGTTGGACCTGGTGGGCAACTCAGCGAGTGAGTGACCGCCTGGGAAACAGCGAGGGAGCGGGGCTGCGGGTTGACTGTGGTCGCACATCCGTGTGTGGATAGACAAGCGAGGGAGTGGGCAATTGGACCGGGACCCAGCAGGCCCCAGCGGCGAGCAGCCATTTCCCCGCTCTGACCCCGCCTACACATACAGCGTCATAACCCAGCGACCTGAGTGGCCCCGCCCCGGTAAACAACCTAAGGCTCTGCTCCTCACCCAGCTGCGAGAAACAGCAGAGGGGGCCGCCATTTCCCCCCTCTGACCACGCCCCCACATATAGTGTCACAACCCAGTGACCTGGGAGTCCAAGGCTCCTCTCCTCATACTTAATGTACGTGAACAGACCAAAAATGTCACAAGATCTCAAAGCCCCAGAGCCCATAGATCTAAGCGATGAAGAAATAGCAAAACTCTCAGACGCACAGTTTAAAACACTGGTCATCAGGATGCTCACAGAACTGGTTGATTATAGCCACAAATTAGACAAACATATGAAGGCGAAACTAATTGAAATGAATGGAATTGCACAGGACACCAATAGCAATGAAAAGGAAACTGGGACTCAAATCAATGGAGTGGACCAGAAAAAAGCAAATAATGGCCAAACAGAAAAGAGTGAAGAAGCAAGAATTCAAAACAATGAGGAGAGTCTTAGGAACCTCCAGGACATCTTTAAACGCTCCAACATCCGAATTATAGGGGTACCAGAAGGGGGAAAGGAATAGCCACCAGTGGAAAACTTATTTGAACAAATAATAAAGGAGAATTCCC